TATACTATTATTTGTTTTTTATTTTTTCTAAAAGAATAAAATTTATTATTATATAACGGTAACTGTATGCATCATGTTGTCCTATATTTTTAACAACAGACATATTTCATATATATATTCCCCATAGCAAAACATCATAGATAACAATCACATGTGTCAGAACATGTGGAGAACAAAAACTTCAAAATTATTTGTTTGACAAATCGATTAACAAAGATTGTGAAACTGAAAGAAAGGGTTTGATGAGAAAAAACATTTCCATGTTTATATTCATTATCCAAATGTATTTTTATGTTTGATTTTCCATAACTTAGCCTTTAACTACTGGAGCGGATCATGCATTCTATAACACCAACAAACCTCTGACACCAATAGGCTGATGAGTTATGCATGCATAGGGGCTTACAGATCAAAGGAGGCTGACGACGTTAGAATCTGATTACCTGTTTAGGTTGACTGCCAAGCTTCCCCATTGCCTTATCGAGTGCAATATTGAAATCACTGAAAGGAACAAGTTCCATCCTGCATAAAATGTACTTTTTATTCATCTTGCATAAATAAAGTCTATTCTGCGCTGGCAACAAGTAAAAAAAAAAAACAACAACAACTTACTCATATTTTAATTTGCCGTCTTGGACCAATCTCAAGAGATAATCTATCTTTGGCCTGCAAACCATAGTCCTGTCGCTAGTCATCAACTTTTGCAGCCAAAAACCTCGTAAAGCAATATCCTGCCATATGTATAAATAGATTCATCATCTCCTGGAAGAAAATTATCATAAAAAATAAAAATATTTATCTGATTACCCACAAAATCTTATTTATTTATAAAACTATCACGTAAATGTTTAAAATGAACTTGATAGTTTTTGTATACACATATATGCCCATACAGGTGCTTCATAAGCATCTAACAAGTTTTCACTGGGATACTCACCTAATGATCCCACCTCAAAGGAGAACCACTTGCCACAAGAGGCTATTGACCAACTAGCTGGTCAATATTATTCCGCAAAGCCACAATCACTCTACCAACAAGACAGTGACACAATAACTCACCCAGGCAGGACAAACTAAGGAGTCGACGCCTCAAGCAGACCTCCCAACAGCACTTGCCCAGGTTCACCCAAGTCTTAAGCACCATTCATCTTGGCATGAACCGTTCATCAACCACCCCCCCCCCCCCCCCCCCCCCCCAAAAAAAAAATCAAGGCTACTTAGCCACCAAAAAAAACCCCAATCAAGCTACAATAAGCACAATACTCAAAAGGCAAAAGCTATGATCTTTGAAGCATGGATATTCCTCAAACCAGAACCTCTTCCACCCAAAAGGAGTTGCCCTTCCGCTTCTAGAGGCCTAAATCCTATCCAACAGACTCACCATTATGTCCAAAGGATTAACCTTCACAAAGTCTCCCTATATACAAGGCCTCGAGGACTCGCCCGAAATACTTGATCCACGTAAAAGTCGATTAGCTAGGCAACATGTCACGTGCCCATCTTTACACTTTTCAGGTAATCATGGCTTGTAATAGAAGCGGACAACCTAGACAGGCATGATTCTCACCACATCCATCCTGATTTAACTCATATGGATCGGACGAATGAAAAATACTTTGACACTATCATCCCAAAATTAACAAAGTATTAAACAAACATCTACTAATTCCATCGTTGAATTGAAATGGAAACCTATATACATAAAATCTTCAAATCAAGAGCAGAGCTTCTAAAATAACATCCAATATAAATTCATATGTACCCAAAAGTCTATAATTTACATCATATACATCTTTTATAACACTCAAAAATGTCCTATGCAATGCAAAACTAGTCAAATGTCCACTATTTCACATGTCACTTCCCTTTTACTAAACTCATGATATAGCACCAAATGCACGAATAGCTCTGTGCGGTAACAATTCTGACATAAAATTATATAAAATGGCATGATGATTATATGAACTATAATAAGCATTTTCACTCAATAGTAATATTAGCTTAGTGCACTAAACGATATTCAATGAAGGAGATAAATCAATTGTGTGAAGGAACAAGTAGAAGTAACAAACATAATTGTTGCAAGAAAATGAAATTGACAATATTTTTTTGCTTTCATTCTTGTATTCATTCTTAATATTCAATACTTTTCAAAATATCATATCAGACTTATTATCTCCGACCCATTTGTATCAAAGTCCCCTTGATAAAGGTTGGACTAATCAACTCTATGACACTTGATTAAACATGATACATATAACATACTCATTTATGCATCATATGTCATTAAATAGTCTTATGCTTAATTTTGATGAGGGTTAACATGAAATATTTGAATCAATGGTCAACTATTGTGCATAATATGCATTAAAACTTTTTGGTGTTTTTAGATGACTTTAGAGTGTTCAATATGCAAAATTTCTATAAATGCAATCATAATAGCTCAGAAAAGCCATAAAATGTGCAAACTTTAGTCATATAAATCATTTGACCCTTATATTAAAAGTTGAGTATCTCGCCACAATAATTAGATTCTCCTTCTGTCAAATTTCCTTATTTTTTATTTCATGGTTTAAAATTGTGCAATATGAGGCTCGCCTTGAGGCCCGCCTTTGTGCAGCACTCCTTGCTTCCTTCTTCTTTCCTTTCTCTATTTTTTTCTCGTTTAAGCTTTTTAAAGTCCTATAATTTATAAAATTTCTTATTTCAGTCCACTGCCAAAGCCCCCATCCAAAGCTATTCACGCCTTAGCCATCTCTTAGAAGAATCAGGACTGCCCCTTTCTTACAGTAGATTATTTATAAGCTGTAGTGTTATAAAATTTAAAACTTAGGAAAATTCAATTAGCCACTATTCTAAGTATTCCTACATATTTTCTATCGTTCTATCGTTGTTTTTGCTTCCAAGGCACAACACAAATTCCATGACCATGTCATGGTTATAGAACACCCTAATGCCTGAAAATAAAAGACCATACACAATGCAGTTGGAAATTTGTTAAATAGATTTACTCAAAAGTGAGATGACTCTCTTATCTATGTGATCAAAGTTCTCAAATAACTAAGCAAAATAAACTCTCTATGATTGAAGATTTCAATGTAATGGCTATAACTACATCACTGCGAAGATCTCAAGATGAAGTGCAATGATTATGATGTGCTTCCTAAAAATTTATTGAAAAAGAAAGAGGGTCACCACTCAATTCACTAAACCAGTTAGCCTAAATTGGGTTGATCCAAAATGAATTTCAAGTAGGAGGGTAGTTATATTGTGTTTATAATGCATATCTATAATGAAATTCAGAACATCATCTAACATATTATTCACAGGCCATAAATTCTCAATCTTTAAACAAATGTTTGCATTTGAAAATGAAAATGAAAGGAAAATCAATTTAAACGTGCCAATAACATTCTATTAGAAATAACATGAAGAAATTCATAATCAAGAAAATCATGTGAAATATATGAAATATACTAAACTGCTAAAAACTAAATTCTATTGAATTTGATTAAAGCCAATCAAACTTACAAATCGAAATTTTGAAGGAAAAAGTAATGGGAATTAATTCAATAAAAGCAAGCCCTATGTTATACGAGACAACTTCTGAAAATATTCAAGTCTCTAGCTTAATCAAGGAATTGACTCCCAAAAGTACAAAGAATAATACATCCAACTAGAATTTTATTCAAGTATCAATCATGCTTTTGAAGACATCTAAGATCCATATTTATAATTACAAAGTCTAATAGAATTCTTCATCCAACAATCATGGCAGAAACCAAAAAATCAGAGAAGAATCAATTGCTAGCATCGAACAAAACCCTATAGAATGGCGGAAAACTCCCAAGGCCCAAGAATAGATGAAACTAGAATTCTCTATCCCAAATGAAGCCATTGATTGCATACGTAGAATATCGCCAAGTAGCAAGGGAAAGAACACCGCTAGAGCCTAGCCGCAAATAGAAAACAAAAATCTCCAAAGGTGATCGCATAAACTGCAGAAAGTTGCAAAAGCTAGGTTAACTGAAGACAGTGAAGAGAGAACCACAGAAGAAGGATAAGTCCTAGGAAGGAACCATATAGCATTAGAGAACTACAGACACCCAATCATGAAAAAAGTCATTGAGCCTCCCAACATCAATGTGATGTCAACAAATTTATAACTTCTTAGACCAAATCATCCTCCTCCCACTGTCCTCCTACATCAGTATTTGTTTTAAATAGTTTCGAATAGAATTAGCCTTCTTGAAAGAAATACGTATTGACAAGAAATCCCACTCTTAGTTGCAAATGTCTATGCATTAGCGAATTCATGGCGCCATTTTCTCAATAGACTAGTATAACAAAGGCAAAAGAAATTAAAATCAGGTTCCATAATCTAAGTTCACCAAGCAGGCCTGAAATAAGTCATTGCAGAATTCACCTTAAATATGAATGAGGAAGTCGAAACAGTGACGGGTTTCTTTGCCATGCCCCCATAAGTCACCATGGTGCCTCCCAGCCTGAAAAATTAAATCTTTTAATCAGACAACAAACGAATATCAGGTAAGTTGGTATCATTTCTAGTTCAGATACATGCAAGCCAGAAATTACCGTAAGAATTTGAGGACCAAAGAAGCAGAATCTCCCCCAATGCAATTAAATCCAAGAAGAGGTTCTGGTATATCACCCTAAACATATCGATATAGAAGTAAATGACGCAAGATGCTGGTTATCTAATGATTAATACATGCATGAGAATTCATACATATATATGGCAAAAAACTCCTACAGAAATGAGTCAAGGAAAAAAATAGACATTCTTTGGGCAAAACAGCATGCTGAATCAATAAAAAACACATCTGGTAAAGATTCGAACTATTTCTAGCTCAAACTGAAGGACATTGTACCAGAAGACTCTTAAAATTCTTCGCTGAAAGTTGGCTTTCGGTATACAGCAAATCCGCACCCAATTTCTTGGTTTTTTCCTGAACTTCTTCAGAACCCGGCCTACAGAAGAAAAAAAAGAATAAAGAATGATAACTCGATTAAATGAATTTAACTGAAAACAATTTAGTAAAAAAAGAAAAAATAAAGAATGATCACCCCAACAATCACGCAACATCAATAAATTTATGTTTGGAAGCTTAAATTAGATGAACTTATATTTATTATATAATTATTTCAAAATAAACTAAGTTTTTCAAAAAGTCCAATTCATGCCCTCTCCCTCCTCAATCTCTGGTACCATAATCATCTCGCAGTGACGTGCTGGACCAAAACGGATAATAGCTCACATAATGTCACTTGGATAATTACAAGTAGTATCAAAATCTCAACTCCTCCAGTACAAAGTTTGATTTAGAGATTAACCAAGTAAAAGCTAGTAAGCTTGTGACACCCTGAATCCAAATAGAGTAAGGTGTGATCATTGGGCTGGGGTCATGGTAAGGAATAGCTCTTGATAGTCCCCAAGACTCACATCAAAAGGAGAGGAAATGATACTAGACTATCTAAGTAAAGGGTAAGACCAAATAAGTCAGACGCCCTCTGTAATAATAGGCAAAAAATTTCTGGAAACTCCAAAATTAAGTATGTTCATAATAGAGCACTATACAATTAGTGATCTCCTAGAAAGTCATGCCAAAAAAGGTAAAACTATGCGGCTCAACCTAATATGAGATTAGTTATGCAAAAGCAGACAACACCACCTATAGTGTGGATTGGGTTATGATAAAGAAGCCACGTTGGAGGAGTCTAATATAAGCCAATTTTTTTTATCTGGACTTGTTTGATTGAGTTGTTCATGTAATGCAATGTCAAGAACAACATTATTTCTGTGGGAGGATTGTGAAACCCACTTGTGTAGTCCTATGTAAGGATCCACCATAATATCCACTATTATACATGCAATTAATTGAGAGTGAGTAGTATGATCCATTGAATTGTGCTATGATACAATTGACCAATGAATGTATGAGATAATAAATCCAAACTCACATCAAAATGAAATAAAATGATACTATACTATATAAGTAAAGGTTTTGACCAAATAAGTGAGACATCTGCTGGAATTATCAGAATTTTTTTTCTGAAAACACCATAATTAAGTGTGCTCATAATAAAGCATTATAGAATCGGTGATCAACTAGGAAGTTACACCAAAAGAGTAGAACTATGAGGTTCAACCTAGCATGGGACTATCTATGCAAAAGCAGACAATACCATGTATAGTGTGGGTTGGGTACTTGGGTTAGGATAAAGAAGCCAAATTGGAGAATTCTAATACAAGCCACCTTTATCTAGACTTTTTTGATTGTGTAGTTCATGTAATCCAATGTCAACGACAACATTATTTCTAAGACGAGAAGATTGTGAAACCAACTTGTGTAGTCCTGTGTAAAGATCCACCATAATATCCATAAGCGTACATGCAATTAACTGAGTGAGTTATACAATCCATTGAATTGTGGTATGATATAATTTATCTATGAATGTATGACCAGACTTTCTAGATTTGCTTTGCATCCATTTGAAGAGCTACCTTTGTGGTATTGTAGTGCAATCAGTATTCTATTTTATACATATTTTTTCAATTCTTTTGAGCATTTTACAGAAATATTTATAATTTGCTCATTAGACTTTTTCCTTAACAATTATATATATGATTTGACTTTTTAGAGCCATATGGTGTTCCTACAAATAATGTTTTTCAGAGTTCCATACTTAATTTAGCACTTTTTACTATTTTTTAAGCTATTTATTAAATTGGGCGTCAATTGTGTTATGCTAGCAATGAATGTATTAAACTTTAGGAGGGAAAATTTGAATTAAGGGGCTGTTTAGGGATTTTTAATTATTCTTTTTGCTTTAATTAGGAGAAAGGGTGTGAGTTTGGGTTTTATCTTGAGATTTGCTGAAATTTTGAGATCTACTCTTGGATTGGGGCTCTAGGTTTTGCTAGAGAGTTTTGGAGAGTGGTTCTTCCTCTCAAATTGAAGAACATTGTATCATACTTTGTTTTCTTGCATCTACCAGTAAAAATCTGAGTTTTCCCTCCCTAATTTCCACTGTTTTGACGCAAAACCTGCTGTGTGGCTGCTGTATTTTTGCTGGGACAGCAGTTTTTCTTCTGTTTTCGTACTAATCTTGACTAGGTTTGCTTGCGAACTCAAGTATTACCTTAGGGTTACTTGCGAACTCAAGTATTTCCTATCAAATTGGTATCAGAACGTCGTTTTTTGGGACCATTGGCGGCTGAAATCCTGAAATTTCAGCGGATTTTTCGTTCCCGGAAAAAGATCTTTGAGATTCTTGGGAAGAGCGATGGCCGGGAAGAAGGATGAGGTCTTGGAAGCTGAGATCGGACAACTAAAATCAGATATGGAGGGAAAGTTCTTTGACTTTCAAACTCAAATCACCTCCAACAATGAGAGGATACAAGGGAAATTCGTGGTGATGGAAGAAACGTTGAAGAAAGTGTTGGAATTGAAGAAAAATCCTACGACATCGGAAGCAAGAGAGACCACTGGAGGCCATGATGTAGGAGGAAATCCAAACCCTTTTAGGGGGAGGACGACATGCCGCCTCTAGATCCACTATCTAGAGAAGAGATGAGTTTGGGGAACGATCGGAGGGGTGCTGATTTCATTGGGAGAAGGGAAGAATTCCATCGACGATGGGCTGCATTTGAAGGGAGGAGAGGAGAATATGACGAAGGGTTCGGGTATAATCGTCGGAGGGAAGATCATGACAGTCGGGGAGCACCTCATCTTCGAGGGATGGGAGGTTATGGAGGATTTAGGGGACACGGGGGAGACCCACGGGTAAGAAAGTTGAAGATGCCCATCTTTGAGGGTGAAGACGGCCATGGCTGGATCTACAAGGTGGAGCGTTACTTTGCTGTCAACGGGTTGACAGAGGAAGAAAAGCTGACGGCGGCGGGATTGTGTTTGGAAGGAAAGGCCTTGGCCTGGTATCAGTGGCGTGACAGGAGGGAGCCCATCCGGAGCTGGAGAGAGTTCAAGGATTGCTTATTGGAGCGTTTCCGAGCTGATGGGGGAGGAGACTTCTATGAGCAATTCTTTGCTCTGACTCAGGAGGGGACCATGGCAGACTACCGGGACAAGTTCGAGTACTTGGCTAGCAGATTGGATCACATTTCAGAGTCAGCTCTGAAAGGGAACTTCATGAAAGGGCTGAAATCGGAGATCCGAATAGTAGTTAGGGTGCTGGAGCTGAGAAACTTAGGAAAGGCTATGGAGCTGGCGCAGTTGGTGGAAGATCAGAAGAAATCAGAAAGAGGAGCTCGAGGGAACTATTCTGGGGGATCATACAAGATAAAGTGGAAATGTAATGATATGAATGAGATGTTTAGTGATGAAAATGTTATGTTTATTCTTGTTACACTCTACCTTACTGTTAAGAGGTACTGTGAGGTGTTACATGTTTTACTTGAGATAATCTATTGTTAGCGTACCTCTAATTTCAGTGATTTTTCTCTTTACAAGTTCATATGAAATTCAAAAAAACAAGAATTCAACTATGATTTTAAGCTATCGTCAGGTATTATTTTACATGTATTAATCTGGACTGTAATGTCATATTGCTCACGATCATATTATCCACTATATTATGTTAACATGTAGCACATACAGCATACGAAACATACATGCTAATTCTAGCTGTATGTTACGTTACTACTATGTTCTTGCTGCATTCCTATCCATCATGTACAATGCTATGCATACTGGAAGTAGCACCATTTAAAGTTGTTGATGTTCACATGTTTGTGTTTTATGACTGCTTCGAGCAAGTATGACAAGAACGACAACCAACTGATATGATGTCATGTAAAATGAGTTTGAAACACCTCAATCGCAATAGAGACACCCATACATGGCTCGTTTGCATACCAGAGTAGAACAACACATTTGAAGCATAGAAATCACCAAAGGACGACCACAATTGATTTGATTAAATACAACAAGAATGATAACTATGGACGTGATGCTCAAAAGTCAAATGAATGTCACTCATTCGCAAAATGAATTACACTGACTCATCCATAAAGTCGAATTTATCCAAAAAGGACCTCTCGCACGCACTTGATAAAAAAAGATGAAAATGACAAACTACGGACATAACTTTGGGCAAAAGTCATCCAAACTACGCTTGTTTGCAAACGGACTATGCTAAAGCTTACATAACATCAAAATTAATCGAAAAGGACACACATTGTCTAGGTTACCACGCGAAGGCAAAGCATAAAATTTGCCCGTGCATGAGACAACCTATATTTCAATACGCACAAGAAACGATAAATTGTATGAAAATTCATATGCATATTTTTAATTCATATATTCATTATTATTATTATTATTATTCTTATTATTATTATTACTATTATTATTATTTAAAAAAATAAAAATAACTCAAATCAAATGTTCAAATCCACATATTTTCAAAAACTCGTAATTCTCGTCTTCCTACCTTGTTCGACGTCGCGCTTAATTGACTTTTATCCCTGTTGCGTCAACAAAGTTAAAATAAAAAACTAAAACCTCTCCCTCTCATTTGAGATTCACCATCTCTACCCAACTCATCTTGAAACCCTTCCTAGCACCACACCCTAAGCCCTCTCAAACTCTTACACCCACATCGTCTCAAGGCCCCCATTTCCTTCATCTCCTCTATCAACGTCCTACTAGTCGATGACCTCGATCCCTAGCACTACTAATATCCCCATTCCATTGAGCCCAAGCTGCACCCATTGATCCCCTTATCCCTCTCATTCGTGATTCTTTCTCTCCCCCTAGCTCTTCTCAAAACCCTTCCCATTTCCACACCCCAACCCCTCTCCGTCTCTCTCTAGCTCTTCTTAAAACCCTTCTCAGCTCTGCAACCAAGCTCCTCTAAACTTATGCACGCACATCATTATGAGGCCCCTATTTCCACCATCTCCTCTATCATTATCCTACCACCTAACAACCCCAATCACTAGCACTGTC